CATACCTTCGCGGGCCTTCGAAAAGTGTATGGAAGATTGGCTTAAGTGTTGGCATATGTGTATCGCTTCAGAAGGAGCATACTCTGATATCAGTAACGCCTTTGAAGAATTAGTTGTCTTTATCCATAGCACTATACGTCAAGAAATCAAAAAAAACGATAAAATTAAACTATGATTATTTTACTATTAATTAAAAAATAAAAACAAATATTTTATATTTTATCTTATTTTTAATACATAGTTTTAAAAAACTTATATTCTTAGAAAAACATAACGAAGAATTAAGAAAATCTATTTGTTTATAATTTTAATTAAAAATAATGAATTTGTCCTCTTTTTATTCTAATAAAAACCGGAAGAAAAAGTTTTTTATTTAAAAATAGTTTTTATATAAACTATTTTTCTTTTTAATCAGTTATGATTTATTGTTTAAACTCAAGTTATGGTTTTATTTGATGAACTAATTGCACAGGTCTTTGACAGATTTTTTTTTATAAAGTCTTTTATTTAAAGTGGGTAATTAAAAATAATTTTTTTTTATTAATTAATAATAATTTAAGATACAAGCATCTTATCAATTTTTTTTAAATTTAATTGTTAATTAATAACAAAACGTTTTTCAATTAAATGTATTTAATAAAGGAAAAGAATCATATTTTTAATATTATTGCAAACTATATTTTTAATATATAAAAAAGCATACTACTTTATATTAAAATATAATTAGCACTATTGCAATGCAAAATATAATAAAAAACTAATTAAAATACAATTAAATAGCATAGATTCATTCTATCTAAAATATATATATACATATATATACGAGTATATAGTAATTAACTATAAAACGTGATTATTTTTTACTATTTACTATTATTAGTATATAGTTAACATAACTATAATCTAATATATCTTAAAAAATTAATTATTTGATATTAATATACAACATATATTTATATATTCTTTGTAGTCTAAAAATAAATTATATATGGTAATTAACTATAAAACGTGATTCTTTTTTATTTAATATTATTGATATATAGTTAGCATAGCTATAATCGAATTTATCTTAAAAAATTAATTAGAAGAAATTATACATTTAATATTAATATACAATTAACTTATTAATTAACTATAAAACGTGATTATTTTTTATTTAATATTAGTGATATATAATTACCATAGCTATAATCTAATATATCCTAAGAAATTAATTAGATGAAATTATATATTTTATATTGATATGCACTATATATATATTTATTTTTTGTTTTCTAAAAATAAATAAAAATTAGATTTCTATTTTTAACAATAATAAGTTAAGTAGAAAATAAATAATTTAAAAATTTTATTTTTGATCAGGTAAAATTTTTGTTCAGATTATAACGTTAATTCGAATACCGCTAAATATCCAAAATTATCGATAACCGAAACAGCTGTATGGGAAGCTAAAAATTCACTCGATTAAAAATTAAATTTTTGAAATCAGAATCGTCACTATGATATTTTTGTATATAAAATAGGATTCTTTTCGAAAACTGTATCCGAAGTATTCGAAATCATCGATATTCGAAACAGCTGTTTGGGAATCCAAAAAAAAAAAAAAACACTTAATTAGAAAATAAATTTTCGAAATCATTTTTCGTTACTTTTACGTTATTTTATTTGAAAGAGAATTCTTTTTGGATACTATCAAGATCACCGGTTTTCACTATGGGACTTCGTAGTGCTCTTTTATTTCAAATATTATTCTTTTCATAGGTAATAAATGTTTTAATTATAAAATCTAAAAACAAAAAATTTGTACAACAAATAATTAATTTGTGGAAAAATGATCAAAATCAAATGAAAATAAATTAATTCAAATATTTAATATAAAATTAGAAGTAGAAATATGTATCTGTACTCAGGCAAGTCTTGTACCATAATTATTATTATTTTCTTTTTTTTTTAAATCGAATTGTTTTTATCCAACTATATATTATTTTAATATTTATGCAGGGATTGAATGTATAAAAATAGAAATAAAATAGACATTATATGTAGAGAAACCACAGATATACTACATATTTTAAAAAGGCATCAAAAAGTTGAATTGCACCAAATATTGTTTATAAATGCATCATTTTATATAAACATTTATTTACAATATAAACATTTGCAATAATAAATTTATTGTTAAATAATTTTTTTAAAAACATTATACAAAGTAGTCAATCTTTTTTGTTAATCAACTTTTGTGAATCATCTAGGTATATATATTCAGTATTTACTAGAAATATGGCCGTGGTTCGTCAATTTCACATCAAATAAATTTATTTTTTAAGTATAGTTTATATATCATCACTTCATTATATTAAAAATCATTATATGTTCTCTAAGCAAATAAGTTTTTTTTTCTTAGATTGGATGTATATGGTGTGAAAAGGGTGTTCATATTAATAAAAATTACAATTTTAGTTGCAAATTCTTACACAAAAAAAAAATAATGTAAAATCCGTCCGGATTTTACAACCAAAAAATAATGTCAAGATAGACCCCATATATAATACACATATAATTTTATATTAAAATGACATTTTCTCAATCAAGCCTAAGACTATTGACATTTTATAATGCTCAAGCAAAAAACACTGTTACTGTTATCTTGATATCTTAATCATTATATTAACAATCATTAAAAATTGATGACAACTTTTTAAACTCCCAAAATATTCAAAATTTCCTTGTATGCCAGCATTATTAATACTCATTGAGAACTTCCTATTCCCACCATTACCAAGAGCATGAAGATTAAAACGATTAAGTAGTTCCACAAAATATATATGGTCTAAAACAATTCTTAAGCTTCGCTTAGAAGAATTTGAACGATATAGATAGGATTTGCCAATATTCGTACTGTCATAATTAATAAAAAAAAATATTGGGATTCATAATGTCTCATATAATGTAGCATAAAGAAGTCACACCCAACGAAAGAAGTAAATAAGCCAATTATTATGAATTTCATCAATTTATAGCATCTGTATGTTGTGTCCAGTTATATATGGTTGTACCTTGTGTCCTACTCGGATGCAGTAACATTTTTGTATCTTGTATCTTTATTTAGGTACAACCCCTTTGTATCCATTTTTTTAGATAGGTAGGTACAAACGAATACTGAATTATTTGAAAGAAATAGTCACGTAGGCACCTACTCTAATAAAAATGATCGGTTTTATAGGGAAGAGATGAGATCTCAAAATACATTCTTATGAGTTTCCATAGCTTAATCGAAAGTAGTATCCAGATAGGTGGATATATCATATCGAATGAATATGAATATAATAAAATTCTGCAATGTTGAATTCTGCAGAGATGACTTCATCATCTCTCATTCGATTTAAATTTCATCTCTGATATTTTTTTATGTGCTCCCGGTGTTTAGAAGAAATTGTTCAAATTCTCTATACAATTTGAGAATTCACATTTCAGATCAATTTTGAAATGGCCATATCTAAGACTCTGTAAATGATATGGACTTATTTTTTTTTGCATTGAAAAGATAATAAATTGAGTTTTCAGATTTAAAAATATAAAAAATTAAAATTATTTATATTGAGTATTTTTAAAAATTTTTAATTTAATGTTTACCGTGTTGTAGGCCTAAGTGGATCCCTTGGGATCGTCGCTATAACATAATCTACCTAATGTTTAACCTGTTTTTTAAACATGTGGCATGTAAATTGTTTTGATTTTCTGCTCGTTCTATCATTTTTTCTACGATATTTTCGACTGTGAAGTGGCCTACATATATATTCTGTAAGTAGTGTTCTTTCTCCATGCCATCTTTCGCAGTTGAAGAAAGTATGCTCAGCATTGTCCTCGACGGATCCGCAGTGTATACTGTATAGATATTTTCGAAAATATTTATGACCAGATAGGAACTGTGTGACATAATAATCAATCTCACCGAAATTTCATTCAGTCCACGACTTTACATATGGAATTAGCTTTGCCGTCCATCTTTCTCTTAAATCAGAGTTCCATCGTTGTTGCCATGTTATAATTATTTAAAATATATTAAAAATTAATACTTTAATAATATATATCCTATATATAAATAAATAAAAACTTAATATATATTAATAATGCATATTAATATTAATTTTTTAACTTAATTTTGAATTTGTCATTTTTACTCTCATTATCATATATATAAACTGTTATTTAATTTACATTTATTACTGCCATATTTCTTTGTGGCTAACGCCATAATTTTGTATTTCTATGCATTTCTAAAGCTTAAGCTTACACAGTTTACAGCTGACAATAACAAAAACAAACACAAAAACAAAATGCACAATAACCAAAATAGACAACAAATATGTACAACAACAATGCGCAACGTCATTACTTGGCGCGAAAGCATTTTTGCGGTTATAAAATAATTTGTAAACAAATAAAAATAGAAAAAAGAAAAACAACCAAACACATAACTTAATAACAGCATTTAACAAAAACAAAAACAAACAACGAGAACATTGTTTTTGTTATTGTCTTACATGCTTTTTTTCGTTTAGATTCATTGCAGAATTGTGAATTGTAAAATGTAAACAACATGAAAACAATTAATAAAAACTGTTTACATGTTTTCTATTGGGAAATAATTCAAAAGAGGAAACAACAACAATAAACAAATAAAAGCAAAATAAAAAGCAAATAAAATTGCACTAAAAAAAAGAATAAAGAAACTATAAAAATAAAAAAATAAAAAACTAAATATAATATGCGGAACTTTTGAGACCGCGTGACCTTTTCGAAATGAAAGAAAAGCAACAGACGGCAAAGAATCTTTGCGCCACGTTAATTAATTAATTAATGATTAATTTTGCTTAACTTAATTTATCATATTTTGCATATTTCGAAAAATAAATTTATTTAAATTAATTTCCGAATTATTTGATATAATGTTTTATTTTTTGTTTTATTTAATTTTTTATACAATTTCTTCCTTTTAGTGCGATGGCCAAAGAACTGCTTTGGATGCACATCAATTTCCGGAAAACGAAGAAGCCAATATTTTGGGTCATGGTACACTTCTAGCAACTGCCGTCGACGGAAATAAGTTTGGCCGTGACTTGGACGAGAAGCTAAATAAATATAAGCTATTGCTGAATTTTGAAGATGTAAGTTTTAGAATTTTAAAATTACTTTAACTATATGTATACATCGTACATACATATACAATACATTATATAAAAACTTTTATGTATTTATATAAATGCATATGTATCTATAAATAAAATTGCATATTATAATGGTATATATAATAACAAACATTTTGTTGTTTTTTATTCATATCCAATAGACTCCCTAACTACTAATCTGACATGTATCGAACAAGATATTTATGCTACATAATCCTTATATAAAGTGATCTAATATAGGTCATACCATTCTTACTAATAGTCAATATTTTAGGTGGTCACCGATCAAAAAAATTATTAAAATTCAATTTTCTCTTAAACTATCAAACTATTTTAACAAACATATCAATTTATGATCTAAATACTAATCTGATGTGTAAAATAAGATATTTATGCCACACAATCCCTATATAAAGAGATTTAATGTAGGCGATACCCTTACTTATAGTCAATATTTTGGATGGTTCCCTATTAATTATTAAAATCCAATTTTCTCTTAAAGTATCAAACTATCTTAACAAACAGATCAATTTATGATCTAAATACTAATCTGATGTGTATAATAAGATATTTATGCCACACAATCCCTATATAAAGAGATTCCATATAGGCGATACCCTTACTTATAGTCAATATTTTGGATGGTCACCGATCAAAAAAAATATTAAAATCCAATTTTCTCTTAAACTATCAAACTATCTTAACAAACAGTTCAATTCAAAATCTATTTATATTAAATCACTTAATTTTCACATGACGGGACCCAATGTAGACTATAATATTTTTATATAGGGCTAATATTTAGGGTGATCATACAAAAAAATGTTAAAATTTAAAATTCACCTAAATTTTCTGCTGAATAAACCTGGACGATATTTATGTTACTTAATTTTTATAAAAAGAATCTGAATAGAGACTATACAATTCTTATTAAGAGTGGTCCCTATGAAAAAAAATTTTTCCTGTTAAATTTTTTTCTAAATTTTATGCTGAATAGAGACTATATGATAATATTCTTTTAAAATTTTTTTAACGACTTAAATTTCACGTTTTAAATTTTAACGACTTTAGTTACATTTCAATTTTCTCCTGAATTTTCTGCTGAATTGACCTAAATGTTATTTATACTATGTAATTTTAATGTAAAGGTTCCGATAATAGACCACCAATTTTTGAATCATTTTCAAACTTGGTACATTGTATAAACTCTAAACGATGGTTCAGATGATATAATGTTAAAATTCTTACCATTAGGTCTCTTTTATAGAATGACGGTAAGTCGGAGACAGATTTATTGATTACAAATCAAATTGTACTTTTATATATACTAGTGAAAATGCCAACTAATTAATTGGTTGCAATGCAAGTCAGCAGATAACTTTCCACCAATCTCACCTAGCGATTTTAAGCAGTTTTAAAATCACATTCTTCTCAAGAAATCTTAAAATATAAAAAAACAAAAGCTATATACATCTCAGCGAATTTAAATAATGTAATAGATATTACCGACGAACAGTATGATAAGCTGTGAAAAAAAGAGATAAAGGAATATGTATTGGGGGGGATTTGTAATTTTGGCTGAGTCCAGAAGGACGGGGTTGAAAAAGTGCTTGCATTTGTAATTGGTGTAAGGAGCTTTCGCTTGAAAAATTGTGATTGTAAAATTACTTTTTGAAAATAAATATTTAAGACCATCTATTGACTTTATATTATTAACTTTATATAGTATACTATGCTTCTGCGTTTTTGAAGAAACACGTTTCACAATGTAAAGTACAATAAGAGTATTGTGGGAGTAGAAGCTATGCAAAGGGTTTGTATCCACGATCTACACAACATTCCAACCGACGCCATCTAGCATTAAGTGGTATATAACACATTGATTACACAAACGATGTCTAACAATAAGTAGATCAGAAAAATGGTCACCTGGTGGTTTTCATGTAAAAATTTGTAGTTTCAAGGTTCGATATCCTGAAAACTAAGCTAAGAACTGTTGTCAAATTAGTATGCTTGGGAAATATGAATCGTTTCTTTTGAGTACAATTTTGACTGTTTCATTTAATCTTTCAGATTTAATCTTGATCCGTCAAATTTTGTGGCACAATCGTATATTTTTAGAGTAATCTAACATTTTTGTGGTATTGTTAGTAGGCATTTATATTTTCCATATTAGCCACACCTTCAAATCATAGTTTATCGGTCAAATCATATAAAACAGCTGTTAATTTCAGTGTAATCTTTTCACTCTGCCAAAATATCTAGAGTGTTATAAATTAATCTCAAGTGTTATACATTTTGTCTCAGATTTAACAATCGAAAATAAAAATTAAACTAAAAGTGGATAGATATAGCTTTCATAATATATGTATGCGAAAAAAGTTCTTTCGACGAAAAGGTAAGAAAAATCTTTTCCACCGCGCATTTCATTTCATTTCTTTGCGTGCGCAGCATTTGGTGATCGGATTGAACTTGTGTTATTTGTGTTTTTTTCTTTCATTTACTAGGGTTGCCCTTGTAATAGTAAGAAAAGTGCGTAAAAATTTATTTGCTATTATTTTAACACTGACCAATATTCGTTTTGATATTATGTATTTATTTTCAAAGGTGATAATTAGGTATTTCGCAAATAATTACAAGGCACTATTAAATATTTTTTGTATTCATAAAAGCATTACTTTGTTACTTGACACCTTTCTGTATTGGCGGCTTTGAAACAAATTTGATCATTTGTAAATTCCAAATATCTTCAATTGAACCTTCGAAATTAATTGACGGCTTACTTACCTTCCCACCTCGCATAATACACAATAGACGTCGTCACACGTATTTGGCCGAAAGTGTCGTTGACATTTTACAAATCATATTTTAAAATTAATTTTTTTTTTCTATTTTATAATAAAATTTTAGGTTTATTTTTGTCATTTTATGTTGTAACTGAAGATACGCCAAAAAACGCAAAACAAAACAACAATAAAAATAAAAATAAAAACTAAATCAAGGTTAAAATGTGTTATAGCCACGCTATGTGCACTGGCCAAATGTAAATAAGAAGAAGCAAAAGAGAAAAAAAAAATTAAAGAGCCAAAAAAAAAATTTTCTATTTTGAATCGTAGAGGTTTCGACCTTTTGGCGGGCAATTGGCCAAGTAATTTTTATTTGTAAACTCAAAGTTAAGTTCAGTAATTGATTTTGCGCAAAATAATGCCAAAAATAAATGACCAAATAATTATGCGTATATAAATTTGTCATCTTATTATTAACATACAATCCAGTCACATTCTTTGTGACTGCCCAGCCTTGATCTGGGCCAGTAGGAGTCACTGAGTTGAGAACAACTCTCCTCTACTGATCGTAACGACCGACATTCTGGGTTTCATTCGGAAGGCGAAATGTCTTCTCTTCGGTTAAGGTCTGTTGCAGCACAAAATATCAACGATGGTCGCAGTGCTCCGCTTCGTTGGGAGCTGGTACCCCGTTTTATTCCTATTTCTATTAACATCCAAAAGAAGAGTATTAAGAAGAGTATTGAGCTTACATCCCTAATGAGTCCCAAAACGGTATTTAAAACTAAATGCTCTTGCAAATGAAATCATTTTTTCACAGTATGTACTTTCCAATAGGACGGGATTAGGGCCATATAATGCAAGCTATCCAACGATCGTCGATCACCATATTTGTTGATGTAAGTTAAATATAAGTTGACTATATATAAGTTAATATAATAAGTTATATTAATTAAAAAGTTAAAAGCAACAACCACAATTGATCGCCTACATGACATGGCTTTAATAGTCCTATTGGAAAGATTATATTGATCGCCTGGCCTTACAGTGTTGATTGATTCAATTTGTTAATACTTCGTTCTATCTGTGGAAAATTAATTAATTAATTTCTTTTTATATTATAATTGAATTTTTAATTTATAATTTAATATTTAATTTGTATAAAATAATTCTTTATATTATTATTTTTCAGGCTCCTGACCATTTGAAATTCAATCCTTACATTCGCCAAGGTTACCGCACATTCCTCTCAACAAAATTGTGCTTACAGAGCATGTTTTGGTGGACAAACGAAACGGTTAGTGAGATATTAATCTGAATATAAAACTACCATATATGACTCTTAATTATATAAAGCAAATGTGATTTCTTCTTCTTTGGTAATCATTTTTACTCTCTGAGTTTTAGGTTTAGTGTTAAAGCCCTTAAAAATGATTTCGCAATCGTAACTCAAGTCTCAATAATTACTTAATTTAAACTAAAGTCGCTTTAGTGGCATAATTGATTCCTAAGTTATTATAGAGATACGACTTTGAAATTGGGCTGTAAAATAGATTTTAGACTGGTATCAACATCCATGAAAAAACATGGATTAAAATTATTTTTACTCTAATAAAATCATCAATCAATATTAATTGTAGTAAAAAGTATCCTTTCAAAGCAATGTGTAAACACTTTAAAATTAGTTTCAAATTTTGGGACGTCAGTTCCATATTTTTAGAATTGAAACTGGAATACTTGACACAATGGAAGAAATAATAGGTGAAAAAAGTAATATTATGGGACTCCACAGAACTCAATGTAGAGATTCAAAAAGCATTCAGTCTTTCAGATTCACCAACCAGATTGATTTGACCATGATTGCCGTGATTGGAAAGGAAAAAGGGCGATATTGGATATTTTAAGATTTAGGAAAGAAGGAAAGAAGCAAACAGATTATAATGAACAAAAAACAAAAGAATAATATAAGTAAAAGTTACAAACGATAGACAAATAACAAAAAAGAAACAACACAAAAGCTGTCTATAGTAAACTGAGAACTGTCAGTAACGAAGATAATGATATGCAGAAGAAAAAAATGGTAATGACAGCATTGAACCCAAGTGCTAGAAAGATTGAGAGAATACTTTGCCATAATACTAAACTTCTGTAACTCAAATGAAGTAGTAGAGTACAATTGACTCCTACCTTTAAAGATCCTAGTCGAGACAACATGAAAAAGATGATTAAGAAACTTAAGATAGAGTGCCGGAGAGAGTAATATGATAGAAGAATTGAACAATTCTGAAAATTATGTTTTGCAAGCATTTTGGAGAAACCCGAAAAGTGTTTTCCATGCTTAATCTATGACAACAAG